CCTAATGATGGGAAAATTATTTCATCAAAATGACAATCCTCAAATCATGCCTTAAACGCATCACCAATCAAAGGTTCTAGATATCTAATGATTGATGGAGAATCAAAACCAATATAAATTCTAAGCCTACGTTGTAGACCCATCTTAGTTCGCTGTGGAGGTACAATAGGAACATAAACCACACAACCAAACACTCTAAGGTGACTAACATTTGGTGGTTAACCAAATACATATTGTAATGGCGAGTACTCATGATATGCAGTTGGTCTGACACAAATCAAAAATGTTGCATGCAATATAGCATGACCCCATGTTGAAAGAGGTAATTTGCTTTTCATAAGCAAAGGTCGAGCAATCAACTGAAGTCTCTTAATGAAAGATTCAGCTAAACCATTTTGGGTATGAGTGTGTGCAACAGGGTGTTCAATATCAATGCCAATGGACATGCAATAATTATCAAATGCTCGGGATGTAAATTCACTAGCATTATCAAGACGAATTGTCTTGATATGATGGTTTGGAAAATGTGCTTGCAATCTAATTGTTTGAGCAAGGAGTCAGGTAAGTGCGACATTACATGTAGAAAGTAAACAAATATGTAACCATCTGGTTGATGCATCTATTAAAACCATAAAATAACGAAATGGTCCACAAGAAATGTACATGGGTCCATGGGTCCACATATATCCCCTTGAATTCTTTGCAAAAAGGATAGAGATTCAATAATTACTTTTGTGGGTGATGGTCTGATAATTAATTTCCATTATGAACAGGAAAAATATGGATAATCACTTAGTAAAAAAATCTTCTGGTTCTTTAATGGATTTCCCTGTGAGTTTTTAATTATTCGACGCATCATTATAGATCCCAGATGCCCAAGTCAATCATGCCATAGCATAAATGTTTTTGGGTCAGAACACTTCTGGTGCATGACAATATGTGACTCACTCATTTTTATTATCGTATAATATAATCCAGATGAAAATGTAGTAAGTTTTTCTGATACTAACTTCTGACTAGAATTAGTTGAAGTGATCAATAAATACTCTTGCTGACCTTTATTTATAGTTTCAATTTGATAATCATTACAACATATATCTTTGAAACTTAATAGATTTCTTCTAGATCTAGTAGAATACAAAGCTTCATCAATACAAATTTTTGTTTCATTTGGCAACATAATATTAGCTCTTTCGGAGCCCTCAATTAGGTTTATAGAACCTGAAATTGTATTGACATTAGCTTTTCCTATGACTAATTGTATAAAATATTTTGTATCACGTAAAATTGTGTGTGTGGTTGCACTGTCCACTAAACAGATATCATCACCAATCATTTTTGAGTTAGTCAATGCATCAATGAAAGCTATGCTACAACCCCCTAGTAGCTTTGTCTTCTCAGCTGAATAGAATCTCGTGCTGACAACTTGTTATAAAACTAAAGAAAATAAAAAAAGAAAAAGTCATAATAGAAGAGGAAATAAATGATCACACATATAATACATAAGTTTTCTCTATGTTTATTACCATGGAAACTCATCTATTTATAAGTGATAAAACCTTCACTATACATCACTATTCATCACATCATATGATTTACCACATGATGTATCACACTTCTCATATGATAAAAATAAATAAATAAATTCTATTTCCACTTTTGACTCAAAATTCAAATTCCAATTATATATTTTTATTTTATTATGATTATCTAAATACTTCACAATATCATCACTAAATGATAAATGGATTAGCTCAAGACTTTCACAATTAACAAAAACACATTATTGTATTGCCTCAATTTAATACATATGAGAGAGAGAGAGAGAGAGCTCAGACTTTCACAATTAACAAAAACACATTATTGTATTGCCTCAATTTAATACATATGAGGGAGAGAGAGAGAGAAGCTAGACTTTCACAATTAACAAAAACACATTATTGTATTGCCTCAATTTAATACATATGAGAGAGCTCCCTAAATGTATCAAAAATGCTAGAGGCCCCAAAAATTCTATCAAAAATTTTATCAAATGTCTCACATGGGTGTGGGACCCACATGAGACCCACATTGTGTGGGTCCCACACCCATGTGAGATATTTGGTAAAACTTTTGGTAGAATTTTTGGGCTCTCTGGCATTACTCCTAATTGTATTGCCTCAATTTAATAGATATGAGAGAGAGAGACAGAAACTTAAAAAGAGGGCCACACACTCCCTTTGTCTAGGGTAGAAAATTAAATAATAATGTTACATATCACTAAATTCTTATCATTAACACTATCACTAATAATATAGTAAGTAAAAAAAAAAATTAAGATACAAAACATATGTGGCAGTGGGTGGGATCCACTGCCACATCTCTAGTGTAATTATTAATTAGCGATCTGCATCATTTTTTAAAATTAAAAATAGATCGAGGCCTACAAAGTTAAGTGATTGATGTATCTATCCCTCCAATAAAAAGAAGATCAAGGTCTACAAAGATAAGTGATTGGTGTATCTATCGCTTAAATGAAAAGAAGATCAAGGCCTAAAAGATAAGTGATTGATGTATCTATCCCTCACGGGCTATGCATTGCTTGCCATAAACAATAAATTTTTTAAAAAAAATAAAATTAAAATGATTGAGTTGCTATCCAAAAGAGGGCCACACACTCCCTTTGTCTAGGGTAGAAAATTAAGAAGATCAAGGCCTACAAAGATATGTGATTGACGTATCTATCTCTCATTGACTATTCATTACTTGTCATAACAAAAATACTTGAAAGCATTAAAAATGAAGCAACGGGGGGCTTCTAATGAATTGGTCCTCTATTGATGTGATGAATGAGTTTGCTTTTCTTTTTATTATTAAATTTTTAACTTGTTAAAGTTAATTATTGTTTTGTTTTTTTAGAACTCTGAATTAACTCTGCTTGTCATAAACAATAATTTTTAAAAAAATTAAAATTAAAATGACTGAGCTTTTATTAATGTTGAGCAAGATATTAGTATATGAAATCTTATATAAACACTTTCTATGCTGGAAAAACACAACCCTCATCCTTTCAGCCTACCTACCTTTCCAGCAGGGCCTGGGCCGGTTGAATGGGATTTTGGGGACAAAGACCATTATCCAATCTGCCCTAAAAGTAAACCCTCTTTTTTCTTTTTCTTTTTTTTGACAGGGCACTAATCCGTAAGAATAAAAAAGTAGAGAAAATTTAGTGCTCACTTAACCTATACTACATATATGGAGTCCATTAAAGTTCCAATGGTGGGTTAGCCTCCTTCCATGCCTAAAAACAGTGCTCAATCAACCTTTGTCATGTATCCAGGCTTGAATTTATGTCACATTTAGATTTTAAATTTTTGTAGAGATTTATAAAAATTATGAAAATTAATGAAGTTGAAATTATTTTCAATTTTTTACTTTTTCTTTCCTTTACCTTTCTCTCCACAAATCCAATAGTCAATCACGTGTCAAAATATTATACATTATCAATGTATACTTTTGGGTCACTAGTCAACAATGTATGAAATAATTGTATTTTTCTTACCTGTGCATTTTGATTCAGATTCGATGCACTCTGTTTAGTTTGAAGTTTTCAAAAATAATTTTTTAAATTTTCAATTCATATTTTTGTACTTTTAGTGATTTTTTAAAATATTTTAATCAATTTATTTTTTTAGTTTTTAAGTCCACTTTTAATCCTTTTTTTTTAAGTATAAAATTTTCACAATAATCTTTAAAAATATGAATTGAAAATTCAAAAAATATGAAAATATTAAATTTTCGTATTTTTTGTATTTAGTGAATTTTAAAAAAAAAATCACAAATATTATGCTTTTTAAGTGTTCTAAAAATAAAACAAATTACTTTAAAAAAAATTAACTCATTTTTAGAAAAACTGAAATAACCAAACAATTTTTCACCACCTACTCACAATGAGAGTAGGCCCAACTCATACTAATCTTTGCAAACCTTGATATTAGATACTTCAAATGGACCATAACTGGGTTGGGCTAGCAAAAAATAGTTTTGAGAGCCTCCTCCAAATTTTCTAGGCGATGGTCCGAGTTAGATGGGTCTGAGCAAGACTCTGTCCAGGCGTGGCCCAACAAGTACAGCTTTATAGTTTAAAATGATTAATTAAAACGGATGAACCAAAAGGTGGAAATCTTAAGAGCATCTCTAATGGTAGTAGGCATTTTACCTATCTAAATATTATTATAAAGTATACATTTTATTTTACCTACCAACTGTTTTACGTTTTTACTCCAACCATGCTCTTTATTTTAGTTATTTATTCAAATATTATTAATTTTATAGAATGTCACGTCAGTAACAAAGATAGAGGGATATGATCTTAATGATTGAATATATTTTGCCTAGTATTGAAGGGTAGCTACATGTAGCTAATGAATTTGAGTTGAGCTAAAATGCCTAATCATATGCCTAATGCATTGGAATTGAAAAAAGTGAGTCACACTAGACATTTTAACTAACAAGTGTTATATGCCTAGTGAGTTGGAGATGCTCTAATAGAATGAATAGAAAAGCTTCATTGATTGACGTCGAAAATTAGAGTTTGAAATTACTACAAGAAAAATTAATTGAACTTTTGATTTAAAGTTGTACTTTTCAGGTGAAATTTTTTGTTGGAATTTTTTTTTGCTTTTTCAATCGATAGTGAAAAAATTGAAAAAGAAGAAATTGTATCAAGTAAAAGTTAGACTCGAACTCAAAAATCATATTTGATAAGCAGCACGCCATCCACCAAGCTTTATAATTATTTTATTTTGTGCTAATTTGTCTCCTATGATATGTCATAAGAACCGCCCGGGAGGGGGGGAGGGGGGATTATCAAACAAACAACCCTAATCAATCCAACTAAAAGTTGAACAAGCAACAATTTTTCTGCCTTTGTTCACATCAATGGACTGTCAGCAAACCCCCCCAAAAAAAAAAAAAAAAAAAAAAAACCAACAGACAATGGCACCCAATAAAACTCCCTATTTACAGTAAGTCAGCTATAACAATTCCTAATTTAAAACCTGTTTTATTACAGTTACAAAAACTCTTTAATACAATAAAAGTAACTTCTTTGCATGAAAGGCTGTCATGTTGACCTTCCCATCCTAATTTGAATCCCTCTTTGGTGTTTTTGCTTCTTGCAAGCCTATCTATCTCTTCTCTCTCACTGTCTCCTCCCAAATACCTAAAACAAAATAAAACCAAAATATATATATAACCATTTTGTTATTTCATAGAAAACAAACAAGCATTCAAGAGATTGAAACTGAAGGAATTGAGCCATGGACAACATCAAGGAAGAAATTGCAGCACCTATCGAGGCGGCACTTGAAGAACAATTAAGCCGACCCCTATTGGAAGATCAGCCAGTAACACCGGGAAAACCCAAGAAAACCCCTAGACAAAAGGCGGTTCGAAAGACTTTCAAGATGTCAGCTCATTTAGCAAATCTCCTCCCAACCGGTTCAGTCCTCGCATTCCAAATTCTATCCCCAGTTTTCACACACGAAGGCAAATGTCACTCTTTTGTTAGCCAGTCCATGACATTAGGCCTCTTGGGGATCTGTGGCTTGTCTTGCTTCCTCGTGTGTCTCACCGACAGTTTCAGGGACGAGAGAGGGAAAGTCCGGTATGGACTTGCCACATGGCGGGGTTTGTGGGTTATTGATGGGTCTGTCACCATTCCAGCTGAGGAAGCAGCCAAATACAGCCTCAAATTGGTTGATTTTTTTCATGCTTTCCTCTCCATCGTTGTTTTCTCCGCGATTGTTCTGTTTGATCAGAATGTTGTTAAGTGTTTTTATCTGAACCCGTCTGATGAAGCTAAGGAGCTGCTTCAAACATTGCCTATTGGGGTTGGTGTGATCTGCAGCCTGTTGTTCGTCGCATTCCCTACCAACCGGCATGGCATTGGTTTCCCTCTTTCTCGCCGTTAGTATTATTTCATATTTTTTCTTTTGTTTTATTTTGTATTTACTTTGATTCATTTTTTTAAAAAAAATCTGTACAATGTATGTATTGTTTCATTTATTCCATACTATAGGATTATAGGAGATGGGGAAAAAGGTTTCACGTTCTGCTAATACAATTTCAATGCCTTTCCTGAGAAGTATACAAAAATTGGTTTTATGTCTGATATATAGCAACATGTATATGATATCAAATTGAATTTGCATTTGCAGTCATGTTTGTGTGTCTCTCATATTAATTTGATCATTATAATTTTAACTGTATCAATTTTAACATAGATCTATTTTTGCACTTAACTTTGATCTTTGTTGTTATGAGACATACATATAGTATATATCATTTTTGTATGGAAGTGAGTATAAATCTTCTCTGGCTTCTTATGCAGCTGTTTCATAGGAATGGATTGAAGTTCAGCCATATAGGATTTGGAAACTTCCACCAGAAACAACTGCCATATCCATACATTGGCCATGTATTGATTTCCATATAGGATTTTATATTACTATATTTAATTGATTTTGCATCTCTCCTGTGGTGCCTTTTTCTCTCTCTGTCTATCTTTAATGAAATCTTAATTTAGCCATTATATAATCAGTGGAATAACATTTTGCCAGGGGCCCAAAGTCCTTACGCTGTGTTTGGTTGGAGGATTTGAGGAGGGATTTGGAAATGGAAAGGGAAAAGTTAGGTGAAATGTGAATAAAATATACCTACATTTCACCTAGTTTCACACACATTTTCCTTTTCCCTTTCCAAATCCCTTCCCAAATCTCTCAACCAAACACAGCATTAGTGTTTTGAGCTCATGAGAGTTATTGTGCAATGGACATATCCCACTAAAAAAAAAAAAAAAAAAAGGGAACACCTTGATGACATTAATGTTGTAACCCAGAAGGGAATCCAAAAGGGGTGAATTGGATTTTTAAATAAATTGTCAAATAAAAATTTTAGCCTGAATAAATAAATATATGAAACAATATATATGAAGGTAATAAAAAATAAAATGAGTAAAAGGAAGAAAAAGCATACTTGGCGATTTATAGAAGTTCGGCATAATCGGGCTTACGTCCACTCCTCAAGTTCCTCCTTGAGAGTTCTCTGCTATTCTTCAAATAATAACAACACCACTAGTTTCGCAGGTGCTAATGAACCTTTACAATAAGTGATCAACTCTGATCACTCTAACCAAGTGATTTTATCTCAAAAATCACTGACAAAAATTATCACTTTTTTTACAAGAATAAGAATAAGAGATATAAGACTCTTATACAATAAAAACTTACAATAAAAACTCAAAATCTCAACAGATTTTCTCTCAATAGAAATAATTAATCAGTGAAAGCACACAACATAATATTTAGGAACACTTCAATATTACAAAATTTTCTCTTCAACACTTCTTATTTTTCTCCAACCAACACATTTCTATATATACACAAAATACTAGTCGTTGAGGTATCCTTGCTGACGTTGGATCGCGTGGACGCAAAGAAAGCACATTGCAACTTGGGCAGCTCGCCAAATTCACAAGGAAATAAAATTGCGCGAAGCAAGAGAGAGTTTGAAAATTTTGACAAGGGTTCGCTTTCAATAAATAGTGATGGCAAAAATTTCAACACACGTAAAAAATAAAGACGGCACATTGACTTACATAGTAATTTTTATATTAAAATATTTGTATGCACAATAAAATTTCTATTAAAATATTTGTATGTATCGTAAAATCTCTTTGAATAACATTTATAATAGATCTCCCTCTTTTATAATTTTTGTAATTATTGTAGGGATTTTAAATACACAATATTAGAAATAACCTATCATCCCACGTGGATATATCAATTTTGTCAAAAGAAGACAACCCATTAAATTTGTTAAAAGATGACAATCTACCAATATCACGTTTGTCAAAAGAATACAAACAATCAATATCAAATTTGTCAAAAAGTGAATGGTGGCCAACTATATTTTTCAAACTATTAATAGTGAATTTTATAAAATATTTACATAAAATCAGATATAGCACAGTAACTTCCATTTAAATAATATTTAACATAAATACATCATACAACATATATTTTAAATAAATAATATTTTGTGTCAAATAAGATAAAATATGTATACTAAAAATCATAACAAATTTATATATTTAAGACATTATCAAAATCAAATAACATAATTGACAAATGTTTGTTTCCAATTCATCAAATGCTCTACAACAGTTATTTTACGTTTCAAATTTATGCTCTGTTTATTTTGATAAAAGACATTTTTCTTGAAAAAAATTTGTGACAACTTTTGTTAAAAGTTATCTTTCACGAAAAATGGTTTCATGCATTTGATTGTGATATCATTGAAACGATTGTGTTAATTGCTGTGGTAACAGTGATGGTGACATTGAAGCTAGTAATGTGGTTGTGGTGTATTGGTGAGCAACGATAGTTGTAGTGATCAAGCGATGGTCAAGGGATGGTTGTGGTGGTGGTGGTAATAGGTAGCTAATTGGTGGTTGTGTGGTAATGATGGCAATAATGTGTATCATATTCAATCTTTCCAACGGAGTTACGAGAATAAACTTCAAACACAATAAAGTTGCTAAGTGAATGGTAAATATTTAAACTGTCAACTTATCTTATACTCTTACCACTTGTAGCACATCCAAGCCCAATATGTTTATAGGCCATACATAACACAAAGCACATTAATAGGGTTATAAAGTAACAGACACTAAAATTGTTTTAGTCTATATAACAAAACACATAATTTTTGAAAATGTCTCTCTTACACACTTCGTTAGTAATTAAAACACCAAAAAAATAATTTTAGCATTCGAGAATTTTATGAAAATAAACATAAATCAATTTTAACAGTTCAATAATTAATTATTCTAATAAATTGATATATTTCATCTTGCAATGAAAAAAATTAATGAATTCAATAAATGCAAAATGAATGAGAGATAGAGAGAGATTTGGGTTGCTATTGCGCATAATGCGCAACAACCACTATTACACGGCTTATTGGGCATTATTTAGGACTAATTTTAATAATTCATACCGTTAAATTTTAAGAGTATATTAAATAGACCACAACTGTGAAAAATTAAACTGTTCAGATATTGATGTAGCTCTTTCATCAAATCATAGTTGTATCTAAAAAAGTAAATAGTAAGTGTAGTTTTCAATGTAAAACCAAATAAAAATGCATTTTGATGAAAGAGTTACTAACCTGCAATCAACTTGATTTTTTGTATGTATATTTCACTCGATATACTCTAAAAATTGAACAGTTTGAATCATTAAAATAAGTCCCAAAATGAGCCCAATATGCCATGCTGTGAGAGGAAGAGATATGGAGGGTGAATGGTGGGAGGAAGGTGCTAGGAAGTTGCTTTGGGTGAGAAATTTATTTCGATTCAAATAAATCTAACCTTTAATTACATAAATGGGTTAATCCTTGCTGTTAACTAATTGTATCTCTGAGACATTTTCAAAAAAAATTCTGGTCGATTATATAGATTTTGCCGAAACTAACAAATTATTAAAATTAAAGAAATTGACATTGATGTTATTCTTTTTGCATAAATTGTATTGTTGTTAAATTTGAATAGTCTTGCTTGATACAACCAAAAAACAATGCTAGATGTGTTCAAGGCGATTTATTGGGAAAAAAAAAAAAAAAATCACTAAAGACTTTTTCCTCTTTTCTTTTCCTTATAAAATTGTTGGAGAAAATGTAGGAAATTCAATAGTAAGAAAATCAATACAAATGATGACATATACAGTAGAGGTTTTTTTTGTGGGTATTCCATAACAATGCGATTTGAAATATATATATATATATATATTTATAAAAAAGTGATAAATATTAATAATTATAATTATAAAATTTTTTATTTTTTTGTAGATAAATTTTCTGTTCCCCCACTAATATGCAATTTGTTTTTTTTTTTTTGGCCTTATCATAAAAAGTGTGAATGATGAATAGCAATCTAGCATAGCTTCTAGTTCCCATTTTGCAGAATAACAAGAAAAGTTTTGTATTTAAGTTTTTTAAAAAAAAATGCGTGGTTGACTCTTTGTTCTCCATTTTTGTCATTTTCATGCACCGTGTTAAAAAATTTTAAGGCTCAAAAATCTCAAAATATGATTGTACAATTAAAAAGGGACTAAAATAAAAACATATTGTGAAGGGGGCTAATTTATAGTTTTTCCTTAATTTGAAAAAGTAAAAGATATTGTGAAACAAACAATTGAAGTTTTAAACCTCAAGAGCTTTCATCACCGACAACAAAGATGATAAAGAATTAATGGGAAATAAATTCATCAGCTTGTTGAATGATTTAGACAAATTACAAAATGACTCCTTATCTGTCCAACCTTGGCAAGTCAACCAACCAAAAATCTTTTTATCTTTTGCTACCAAACAGACAAATCTGGACAACAATTTCAAGACAGGAGATGGGTTTTCTTGAAAATATCACCCAATCTGTAAATGTGCCATAATCTGTGCATAGTTTGAGTTGGGTGTGGATGAATTTAAGCATAGTTGGTCTCCATTTGTTTTGGTAAAAATATTTTCTTCTATCAAAACATTTTTTTCATATTTAATTGCAATATTAAAACTAACCTATTAGTGATTTTCCCTCCGATTGTGATAGTAGCGGCAGTGGTGATGATAGTATCATGAAATTGGTAAGGCCTTCATAAAAATATGTTTTCATTTTTTACAATAAAAAAAAAAAAAAGTTCATCTAAATAAATTTGAACAAAAACTTTTTTTTTTCCCGAAACAAAAGAAAATAAAAGCTCCAACTAACCACCACAAATGAAATTGTGGCTTAGAATTTCTTTGGGAAACAGCCTAATACTTATTCCAGTTTTGACAGTTTTTTTTTTTTTAGATAAGCAAGTCATATTATAACCAAAAAAGAGAGATATACAATGGAATTCAATACACTTCTTTTGTAGGGAGAACAAACATAAACATAAACATAAACATAAACATAAACAAACTACTCCCTTAAAAGAAACAAACTAAGCCTATAGATGACAAGCACAACATACACAACAAAGGATT